AGAGAGAGAGAGAGAGAGAGAGAGAGAGAGAGAGAGAGAGAGCCCTTGTTCTCTCGTTCCTGTTCCTGGGGTTCTGGGTGGGAGGCATGGGTTGGGGCTCAGAGGGATCTACTATGGGGGCTTAGATGGGTCCTGGGACACTGACTCTCCTAAGCCTGGGACTATAAATAGCCAAGGGCCCAGATAGAAGGGGGAAGGCTTTCCTAAAAATAGCTACCCTCAAGCTCAACAGCTGGGGCCCTGTCACAAGGCTCAGCCGGAATTAGCACCCTCACCCCCTCATCGATCCCGTTCCGGGGTGGTGGGCAGTACAGCAGTCACTAAGTTTGGGGGGTTCTGGCTTTGCAGTTGTGTGACCTCAGGCAAGTGGCTTCAACAACATTTTGCAAGGCCTCAGGGAGAGGGTGCATAGGCAGAGCACCACCTATAGTTCCCTCTGGGTTACCACGAGACCATGCCACACAGACACCTACTGACAGTGCACACGAGCTGCCACCCATGAGCCTACAGGTGCCAGGTGCTTCATAGCTGCCACGGGACCGGCTTCTTCCACATCTGTCAGCCACTAGGCTGCTTCCAGCAAGCAGTGGGGAAAGACGTTTGGGGGTGAGGAGCCGCTTTGTCTCCAGGCCTGAGAAATGCTGCCCTCTCTTGAGGCTTCAGCAGGTTTGACTGGATGGGGTAGGAATTCCACCCAGAAGCTGACAATTCACAACTCAGTTTTACTTTAATATCTGGGAGCTCCAGAGTGAGAAGGCAGAGTTGAACTGCCAGCAAGATGGTTTGGATAGTAAAGGCACTTGCCACCAAACCTGACAGACAACCTGGGCTCCACCCCCTGGATCCACGTTTTAGGAGAGAACAATTCTCCAAGGTTGTCCTCTGATCTCCACGTGTATGCTGTGGCAAACACCACCCCCTCATAATTAATAAAAATTAAAAATATCCCTGGTGGGAATAAGGCAGCAGCTCTGGGAAAGTCTTTTAAAAGTTAAACATAAAACTCAGCCTGCAGCCCTGGTAGGGGTGTGCATGGGATAGGAAAACAGTCAGCTCCAGGCCATTCGTATAACCCTCATGCGGAATGACCCACGCCCAGAGGCAGCTGAATGGAAAACACAATCCAGCCTTGTCACAGAATGTGACTCAACCACGAGACAGAAGCCCTGCTCCCCGAACCTCGAGAACAATTGGAAGCAGCCAGCCACAGAAGAGCGTTCAATGTTTCCATTTACATGATATGCTTAGAACGAGCAAATCCAGAGAAAGCCAGATGGTAGAGGCAGGGCCGGAAGAGTAGATGCTCATGGGTGTGAAGGAATTCTGGGGCGATGGAAAACTTTGATCATGGACTTTATTTATTTTTTTAGACGGTTTCTCTGTGTAGCCCTGGCTGTCCAGGAACTCACTCTGCAGACTAGGCTGGCCTTGAACTCACAAAAATCAGCCTACCTCTGACCCCTCCTCCCCTCCCACACTCCAGTGCTGGGATTAATTATGAATTGATTACAGATTTAAAAAACTACTTTTATGTGTATGAGTGTTTTGCCTGCATGAATTTCTGTGCACCATGTGTGTGCCTGTGGCCACAGAAGCCAGAAAAGAACATCAGAGTCCCTCGGACTGGAATTATAGATAGCTGCCATGAGGGTACTGGGACAGGAACCTGCGTCCTCTGTCAGAGCAACCAGTGTGCTTAACTGCTGAGCCATCTCTTTAGCCCCTTTGATCACAGTTGCTGACCATCACTATGACAAAGTTTGCAGCATGTGGGGTGAGGTTTGCAGAATGCAAATTAGCCGTCACACCAGGGTAGCTGGGGGCTGCCTACCACTTGCCTTGTCTGGTCTTAGTTCCCACCAACACCTCCCTAGGGCTCAAGAACCCTCAGCAGGGTTCTGTCTGTGAGTGGCTGAGTCTGTTTGAACCAAGCAAGGGAGAACTGAAGGTGACTATCCCAGGTCCAGGAGTGCCTGGACTGTGTGATCTTCCTGTAAGTCTGGGAACAGGGTCCTTGGATAGGATTTAGGGACACTCTGCCCCAGCTGCTGGCTGAGGAGCAGACAAGACAGCAGCTTTCAGAGGGCTGGGCCAGGGCAGCAGGTGCCTGAGAAGATGACATGAGCTCCAACATTACCTCCATGCCCCAAGCCCGAACTCCCCTGCTTGGGCTAGGATTCCCACTGGCAGGGGCCTGAGGAACAGGGCACTCCCCTCCCCACTTTACGTTACCAATGGTCTCTGAGGGACATGGCCTGCATCTGCTCACTGTTGCCCAAGGGCATCATCTGGCCTCGGACTCTATACCCAGGCTGCCCATTACCCACTCAGGGGCTTGAAAGCTTTGGTATTTGTTGCACCCCATCCAGCCCACCACCCCTTCCTGGCTCATCCTCTTCCAGCGGCAGGTGACAACCTGCTGAAGACTGTAGTACATGTCTTCATGCCTCACCATGCTATGTACTGGGGGCGTGGGGGGTGATGACCGCGTCTGGAGAACCAGATCGCTCAGGCTGGGCAGCAGCGTGCAGGGGCCCAGGTCCTGCCCTTGGATACAAACTCCAGGCTGGTGTTTCCTCACTATTCCATTTCCATTTCTGGAAGGAGAGTAGACGTTCCTGGCCACTCGTGTGTCACCACGCCCGCACCGGCCGGCTCGCCCATCCACCTTTCCACCCGCTGACCCACCACGCACCTCCCACTTAGCCGCTTCCCCCACTCACTTCCCTCCATGCAGAACCACCAGAGCTACAGGGCAAAGGCAACAGGGACCAGAGCCTCTTCACAATGTCACCGCTCGTTCCCATGGTGTAAATACAACAGTCATGGCAGACAAGGTTGCTCTTTATTGGTTAAAATCCCTGCTGGGCTCCAGACTCAACAGTGGACCCCTAGGAGTGGGGATGGAGGGGCCGGGCAGGGGCAGTCTGTTCCTTGCTGGGCAGACACTGAGAGAGATGGCAGCTGCTGTGGTCATCAACCATTATTCATCTCTTTTTGTTCCCTGGGGCCTACCAGCCAGGACCTACCCACAGCACTGCCACCAAGCCTCCCTCCCTCACTGTCCCCAACTCAGCCACAGCAGAATAAAGATGCATAAAACAGTACTCAGCTAAAGGTCAACTGAGCCATGGAGGCAGTCTGGGAATGTTGCAGCCCATTGCAGGTATTTGTACCTATCTCCCTAAAGCCAGACAGGAGGCTTCCTCCCACCCCCGTGGTGCATGCGATGGGAGGTGGGTAGAGGCTTGCAAAGCAGAAGGTGAGGCTATGAGCGTGCAGGTGGTTCAGGGTGATGCCAGGCCAGGTCCTAGCATCAATGGCCAAGACTCCCAAGGCTCCTGGCTGGGTAAGGCACAGAGTTTCAGTTTCTCAGGGGCCCAGTCCCAGCCTGGCCCCGAAGAGCCTCTCCAGACAGCACAAACGGAGCACCTGCTGCTGTGCTGAGCCGTCGAGAGCACTCACTTAGCTTTGGGCCTGGACCTGAGGCCTGTGGGGAAGGAAGTGACAGCGTTAGGAGCAGCCTTTCTCAGAAAGCTGCAGGTGCCTACTACAGGTTCTCGTCGCCACTGCCAAGGCTATGATGTGTATCCAGGTCGATTCTGACCCCAGGTTCTTCTCTAGAGCAGCAGAATTCATCCAAGTGGATGGAGCCAAGGTGATACCAGCAGGCTGCTCCTGCAGAGGCTGTCCCAGCTGGGCTTGGTGCCTTAGCTTGATTCCGTCTGCAGTGGGGTCTGTGGAGTCTACTTCTCACATCTCAGACAAATACCCACTGTCTGTCCTCACCAACCTGCACTGGGCCCCTTCAGATGGACTTGGTCCTTCCTGCTTTTCTCTCGGGCTGGGTGCTGGCCAAGGAGGGCCCTGGGCTGGCAGCCACACACTTGAACTGACCCTAACCTGCCCCCGTAGGAGGAACCTTGTTCCCAACACTCTGTGCTGCCTAAGAAGCCTGCTTGTCCACCAGTGGTGGATGGGGTTCCATGCTCCCCCTGGAGTTTGAGAATCTGCTCAAGACAAGAGAAAATGAGTGGAGCTGCAAAACTTCACCCAGGGTGCCATCAGGACATCCACAGGGAGTGGGGAAAGGAACCACCAACCAAGGCAAGGGTGTAGCCAAGTCTGGGTTAGCTACAACAGTGGTGTTCAGCATGGAGAGGCTGCCGGTCCAGGGACACAGGAGCTGGTCTCCATCAAAATGCATTACCTAATGGGGCAGTCCACACGCAGGGCTAGCAGCACTGAAAAAGTAAAGGAAGAACACTGTGCAGGCTGAGCCCCAAGAGTAACGGAGATCTGACCTTCCTGTGGGTCTTGCCTACAATGAGCCAACAGATCTCATCCTTGTCCCTCAACCCTGAGACTTCAGCCCAGTGGCCCGCGGGCTCAAAGTGCCAGGCAGACCCAGGGTCCCTGAGCATGTCCAGAAGTGCTTGGAAGTTGTTCAGCTTGGACTCATGGCTCATGATGGGGCCAGGCTTTTTTGTCCTAAGCTGGGCCTTCCTCCATCCATGAAGCCCGGCCACAGAGCATGGTCCAAGTTGGTCCAACAGTATCTCTAACCTCTTGGGCCATGTCACTTCCCTGGCTATCTTGCCAGGGTGGGGTCCAGAAGACCCACATGGCACGTGCAAGCAGACCTGTAATCTAAACTGATCCCTTTCTGCTCCTGGCTACACGGAGGGGAGGTCCATGCACCTTTTGCCTCTGGCACATCTGCAATTGAGACATCCACTTCCTTACAGTCTCTTTGGGCAGTGCTTGGCCTTAACCTGGACCATGGGGGAGCTGGAATAGTCTTGGGAGGACTGGCCCCATGCAGAGGGATGGAATCTTCTGGGGAGTTGGGGTTAGTAAAGCTGCAGTTACTATAACCCTGGGTAGGGCTGCGGCACCAACAGGAACAACCTCAGTCTGTCCTGCAGGACCAAGAAACAGGCATCCCCAAAGATCCCACACTGTATCCGCAAAGGCCTGGCTTCCCACTCCCTACAGGGAGCCTAGCTTGGCTTTATCTACCCCTCCTTGGAAGCCCATTTGGAGTCCAGCTCTGAGGTTGTGTCCAGCTAGGGGAGAGAAGACCCTGGACAGGCAAGGTTTGGCAGCTGGGCCTTCTCCAACAAGACAGGGCAGGAACAGCAAAGGACCCACCACCAAGAGCCAAGGCTGGGGTTTGCTGATATACCCAGAGGGCTGTAGAGAAGCTAGGTTAGTGCCCAGGAGGGCCAGACAGCAGGCTGAGGCCCCAGAACCCGCTGTCACCATTAGTCAACACGAGCCAGGCTGTGTACGTACCTCACTGGATCACACACAGCCTTTTTGTTTTATTATCATCAGACTCAGGGGCACACTCTGCTTTCAAATAAAAGAAACACACTCATCAGCTTATCACAGGTGGGCAGCCATGAACTCAGGGTGATAGGATCTGTGGGAGTCAAGCTAGCCACGCCAACACTCTTGGTCAGGGGCAGAGACAGACCGCCAGACCAAAGCCCAGATTCTCTGGTCATGGGGACAAAGGCAGTTGCACCCAGGGACTTAATGCCAGACCACCCTGCAACAGCAAGAGCCAAGGGCCACCCTCCTCCACTCCCTGCAGAAGGGGTGTGAAGGCGGGAATTTGCAGGTGGGGGTGATGCTGGCGGTGGCCCCCAAAGCAGCCCCCTGTGTAAAGTGCCGTGTCCCTCTGAATCACCCTCTCTCCTGGATGCTGGTTGAGCCTGTAGTACCCGCAGGGATAGGGGAGGGACCAGCTGGATGGCAGGGAGAGGTCCCAGGCCCTGTCGTGGGACAATCAGTTCTAACCACATGCCCAGACCCAGATGTCTCCCAGCCTTGCCCACCACGGCCCGCCTCCCAATTACCTTCTTGGTTCCTTGAGGGACGTTTCTTCCTTCGCTTGCTCGTCCCCTTTGAGACCCGGCCTCGGACTCTGGGGAGGGTGCCAGACCCTGAGGAATCTGTCACTGCGTCCTCAGAAAAGGACCTGTCTAGGGATGTGTCAAGTGCAGACTCTGGAGCTGTGTCGTCCTGGTCCTCATCCTCTCCAGGGCCTGTGCAGGGGAGGTGGGGGCTGTGGCCGCGCTCAGCTGTATCCTCTGGTCCCTCTCTTGTGCCGTCAGCCTTGGCTTGGCGAACACCCCACAAGGCTTCAGGATCCACAGCATTCTGGGGTGAGCTCTCGACTCCAGGAGGCTTATTGCTAGAGAACTCGAGGGGCTTCAGGGCTTGATCATCTCCCAGAGTCACTGGCCAGATCCCCTCAGAGGGCTGGGCATTCAGGTTATCTTCAGGGACCAGGAAGTCACTGGCATCCACATACCAGGAAGAACGCCTCTCCAAGGCTGGGGGACCACCTTCCTCCTTGGAGGGCTGGGGACTGGGGGTTACAGCGTCCACAAGGTCCCAGCCCTGTGGCTCCCCGGCTGCTGTAGTGTCCAAGCTTGGCTCTGAGGCAGGATGGTTTGTGCTTTGTATGGCATTGCTGGCAGTTGCTGTGGATGGAGAGATCCGTCAGCGACGTGCAAGAGCCAGGTTCTTAGACATTCTGGTCCCACCCCTGGAAGTGGTCCTGACCCCAGCCTTCCTAACTACTCCAGACTTCAGTCTCAGAACCCTCCAGCATGGTTTCTTACGCATCAAGGCAGAGCAGTATCTTCAGTCTCGCCATACACGGGAGACTTAGGGATACCCAATGGGCCATAAAAAAGCCCATCCATTTCCAAAGGTTTTAACACCTCAGGTGCCCTGAACTCTGGGGTGTCCATCAGTGGACCACCAATTCCCACATCTCCTGGATACCCAAAGGCTATAAAGGCAATGTCCAAGAGAGGACACACACCCACCACTGCCCTTAGTGCCTCCAGGGCAGTATGTGTAGGGTCCCCAAAGGGATTCAGGTCTCAGAAGGCTTCCTGGAGGCAAGCATAGGTAAGTGGTGGGAGGGAATGAGAAGGTCACAGGTTCGTTTCTCACCAGGCTCTGTGGCCTTTGGAGGATCTGTTGGAGTCACTCTGCTGCCTGCTTCAGTGTCCCCTCGGCCCCGGGCTGTCTTCCGTAGCTGGAAGCCCTTCCTGATGTCGGCCAGCAGGGCATCGATGACACATACCTCTTCTTGTTTCCCGGGCCCCTTTCTGACTGCAGAGCCACAGACCTCAGATAGCAGCTCAGAGACCCTAGGCCACCCCAGAGACCCCTAGGAGAGCCGGAGAGGCACTGCAAGGCTTGAGAGAGGAAGGAGAGCAGCCCCACCTGAACCCCAAGGCTTGCAACTGTTCCCACCTGCCCCCAAGACCCACCAGGCTTCCCGTCCTCGCCCCTCGGCCTCCGTGCCTCCTCCTCTGCCAACTGCTGTTTTCTCTTCTCTGCCTTCGCCATCTGCTCCTTCCGGTCCTTGTTCTCCTGCTCAGACAGACAGAAGCCTTGTCACCCAATCCAGTAGCCCACAGTGGGAATAAGGAGGGACAACCAGGGTGGGGCTCACAGCTGTACCTATCCACAGCTGGAAACAAAGGGGCAAATTCTGCCTGGCTTGGCTGGGAACCCCACTCTGGTCTCAGGCTTCACTTAACTCCCCCGAGCCCACCACACCTTCAGGGCACGGGTGAAGAGGTCTCGGAAGGTCTTCATGGTGCTGAATGTGTCCTCTAAAGACAGCTGCTGGGGGTCTTCGCACAGGTAGTCGGCCAGCTCCAGCTTCTTCTGCTCAATAGCCTCGAACACCTTGTCCAGTGCCCGAGAGGCCTCAATGCTGGCCTGGGGATATAAGGCTCAGTCACGACCCAGTGAGCCAGGGGAGCATGCTGGTGATGCTTTGGGCACAGGGCCCTTGGGCAGAGGTCTCCATGGAGAGTAGGGCCTGTGGCATGCTAGATGTACCTGGGAGCCTTGGCTTAGGGCCATGGAGTCCATACCCTACAGGAAACACTAGGACAGGGATCAGAGAAACTGCTCTGTTGACTCAGGCTCTCTTGTCCCCTTGGCCTGTGCTCACAGAGGAGCTGCTCACCCACCTACCCGCTCTACACGGTCCTGAACATCCCAGGATCTGTGCTCCTCCCCGGACTGTAGTGGGAAGCTTCTCCTGCCAGCCACAGGACTCCCACTGGCCAGCTTACCTGGAGGCGCTCAGCATACTGTTTTTGCACCTCAGGGATTGAGGCAGACACCTTCCGTTCTATTTCCAGAAGCTTCTTTAAGTTGCCACTGGCCTCTGAGCGGATGATCTCCAAGTTGATTCTGAAAGGCACCGAGGGGCAAGATGGGCAAAGTAAACTACGCGACAACCAGCCACAATGGCTCCCGACTGCTGCTTTAGCGCTCGTCACGCAACCCCTACTGACCCTGGGCCCATCACAATTTTCACATTACAGGTCCCAGGAGCCAGTCAATCCTGACAGCCCTGTATGGCGGGGGTAGCTGCCTGTTCTGGTGACATTCAAATCAGCCAGTCCTGTCAAGATACTGGCCCCTCACTGTAGAGCAGGGCTTGTGCCGTGCTGGGCACACCTGGGAACCTCAGCCCAGCTGTTGGGCCCACTGTCATTCTTGTCTGATTGGCCCTGAGGCCCAGCAGCTGCTGAACCAAAAGCTCCCAGGGCAGTGCATGGTGGGAGCACAGACTCTGGAGCCGGTGTCCAGCTAGTCTCTCTGCTGGGTGGTGAGACTCCTAGATGGTGACACCACTACCCTGAGCCTCAGTCTGAACCGTGAGGTGGCATGACCTGGCTAACACTGTCATGAAGGTTCACTCTGTAGAGAGGCTGTGCCAGACTGCCACCTCATCCCTTCCAGGCTTTATCTGAGTCACACAGTTATAGCTGACACGGTCCTGTCCCAAAGCGAAAGTCAGCGTTCTTTGGGGTAGGGAATCGGACCCTGCTGTGAGGAGGATGGGATCAGAGGTTGGAGCCCGAGCTGCTAAGGCATAGAGCTGGCAGGAGCGCCTACCCCGCAGCTTGAGAGGGTGGCTCCAGGTCCCGTGCCAGCTGTAGGAGGTCTGGGTGGCTTTTCTCCACTTCCTGTAACACAATGTGTCCAGTAAGAGCCTGTTGACCCCACTGGGCCTGTGGACATCACCCTGCACAATCATGGGCAGAACCTCCACCAGCCCTCGGAGCCTCCTGGGCCTCTAGAACGCTGCCATGGCCTATGATCTCTTAGCATTTTTGTTTCCAGAGGTGGGTGAGAGTAGAGGGCCTGTCCCAAGGTTATATGGGCTGCTGCTGGTGGTGGTGGTAAAGCCTGCTGGGGATGGGCAGGGTTGGGGCTCAGTCTCTAGAATAATAGGCCTAAGGCTAGAGTAGGGGGTGGCAAGAGGAGGGGGCCCCCCACCCGACAGGGTCCCCAGAGGTCACCTCCAGCACATGGTGGAGCAGTGTCACCCGACTCTGCTGGGACTTGGTCTCTGTGAGCTTCAGCAACGTGCTAATCTTGAAACCGTCTGCATCTCCTGTGTGGCTGCCCTGTGAGGGACAGGGGGTGAGTCCGACTCCCAGGGTGTGGGGTGAGTCCCCCCACTCCCATGGTGTGGTGGGAGGTGGGGCCACAGGATAGCTCTGACTTACATAGTTGAGGAAATTCCCAATCTTGAGGATCAGCTGGCAGAAGACAGGCAGCCGTTGGCTGGTGAGCAGGCCTGTGATGGATGGGCCGGGTTGAAGAAGGCCCAAAGCCTCCATGTGTCTCAGGGTGTGGCTGCTTCCTTACCCCAGGCCCATCACAGCCCCAGAAAGGACACAAGGCAGGGGCCACATGGGGCTATGATCTCTTTTACCAATAGGTGCAGGGACTCTGGAAATACTTTCTGTGATGACCACATTTGCTGACCCCCTCAACTCTAGCAGGTGCATGGTGATTACTTGTCCTTTGGGTGAGGACTCTGGAATGCTAGAGGAGCCCCTTCCAATCTGTGGCCACCCTAGTTCTCATGTCCCTGTCCCTTGGGTTGCAGGGAGGATGCAGACACTCCTGTCTCAGTGGCTGAGACGGGAGCAGGCATGTACCATGCTGTGTGCCTGAGAGAAGGGAGCTGTCCTTGGGCTACTGGAGCCCATGTGTGCCCCTGCTCTGGTGGCCAAACAGGTCTCTGTCCTTCTTCATTCACAGAAGGGGCACGCATGCTTGCATAAATATACTCTCGTGTTTCTGTGCATGTGTGACTGACTGGATACGAGTATCTGCATGCACGCTATACCATGGGTATGGACTATGTAACCTCGCTCATGTGTGCCATGAGTGAGTGTACAGGCATGGGTATGCGTGTCGTGTGGAAACAGCAGAGGTGACCATGGGTTTTGCTGGAGAAAGTCAACACTTCACCAGCTCTCAGTGCCCACTGTGACGCGGCTAGAGCAGGGGCTGACACGTGGCAGGCCTGTCCCTCCCAGCCCCACAGGCTTCTGGGCCCCACTCACTCTCGCAGGCGGTGAGCGCCAGCTGGGCCTTGGGCCGCACCATGTCCAGAACGATGGCGGTGCCCTCACACAGCATCATGCACTCCACCCGCAGCTGGTAGCTGGTGCAGCAGAGCAGGGGGTTAGGGCCTGGGGGCTCCACCATGCTTGCCATTGGGAGCATGCTCTGCCCTTGGTGGGTGGGCCTCGGGAGGGGTCCCCACGGCCTGGCCTGGGAACACGCACATTTCTAGGCCCGTCCCCAGGACAGAAGTAAGGCCTGGGCAACTAGGTGGCAGCCTAGGGGGCCTGGAGCTTCTCAGGAAGACTCTGGCCTCAGGACTTAACAGGCCACCTCTGCTTTCTGAGAGGGGACAAGGAACATGGTGACATTCAGACGCCACACTAGATGACTCCTTTGCAGAGCCCTAGGGCCTTCCTGACCCCTTCCCTCCTCCCCGAGCTTGGCTCCTACCCTGCTCTCCCCACCTTTCCTTTGCCACAGGCTAAGCAGGATCCCAGGGCTGCCTTGGCTCACCAGGGAATGTCCAGGAGGAGGATGTAGAACTGGTCAGCACTGGCCAGTTTGGTTCGCTCCTCAGTGAATGCGCGCAGGTTCTCAATCTGCATGGTGCCACACAGGGGAACCAGTTTTCTGCCTGCCCAACACTTGCCTGCTTTCGGCTGCCCACAAAGCTCACAGTGGCTCCCAGCCTTCGTGGTTCCCCACGGGGGTGACGGGGGTCAGGACCTTGCTATCTCCGATTCTTTGGCTGATTTGGGCCCCGGCTCACCTCATGCTTTTCTGGAAGGAGTTTAAGGAGCTGTTTGAGAACCTCCACATCAAACTTGGTTGTGTCTCCAGCCCGGATCATGGAGGTGACTTCTTCATTGGAGCTGGGGAGGGTGAGGACAGGGGTCAAGGATCACGATTTCTCTCTTCCCTTCGTCCCCTGACACACTTAGAGATGGAGGTGGCTGATGGGCATTCATGGGGCTCTTGGAGGCGGATCTTGGGTAAAGGTTTAGAAACTGGGAGGCAGGGTCTACTCTCCCATGACTCCGTCACAGCTTGCCTATGACCTCGGTGATTTTCTGGGCCTCACTTTGCTGTGGAAGCTACCCACTGTCTCCTGCCCTGGGGTTGGAGCATGCGCGGACCTGGCCAGCCTGCATTGGGCACTGATGGGCATACCTGGGAGGCTTGGGGCAGAGCAGGCGGTTTGCCTGGGGCTGAATTTGGCAGCAACGTTATGTCCCTCACTCACCTTTTAAATTGCTTCAGGAAGATGTTGAGGTTCAGGCTCTTTTTGGAGTCCAGAAAAGTGACCTAGAAAACCCACCTTTAGCTGGTATCTGCAGGATGGGCAGAGCACTATTCCACCCAAGGAGGAGATGGGTGAGGCTCTGTCATTCATTGTTCTTACCTCTTTGGGTTCCTTCCTGGTGGGGGCAGCAGAGGGCTCCTTGGGCTTAGCCGTGGGGAAGGAGAACAGTTGTTCAATGCTGGAGAAGTCAGGCTCCACGGCCTCTGTGCAGGGGCTGCTCAAGGTTGCCCACATGGAGTTGCGCTCTACAAGGGAGGGACGGGCAAGGTATTCCGCTGAAAGGCATCCTTAATGTGGGCCTGCAGGTCCAAAGGCAGGTGTGCCGAGGGGCAGCACAGGAGCCTGGGGCCCAGCCCCGGTTGAGTATCTGATAGAGGGAGTCTCCATGCTGTTGTTAGGCTACATGTGTGCATGTGAGCACAGACACCTATGCTGTTGTTAGGCTACATGTGAGCACAGACACCCATGCTGTTGTTAGCTACGTGCGTGCATGTCAGCACAGACACCCATGCTGCTGTTAGCTGCATGTGTGCATGTGAGCACAGACACCGGCTATGTGCATGCATGTGAGCACAGACACCCATGCTGTTGTTAGGCTACGTGCATGCATGTAAGCACAGACACCCATGCTGTTGTTAGGCTACGTGCATGCATGTAAGCACAGACACCCATGCTGGCAGGTGACCTGGTCGGTCTCTCTCTGGCTGCCCTTTCCTAAGCTTCAGCACCTGACACCTGGGGCACTACATGGAGAGCCTTAGAGGAGGGTGGGGCGGGGCAGGGCGGGGCGGGGCCTGGGAAGGACACCCATGACCCACAGGGCTCTGAGTGGCTTTTAGACCTATGCAAGACACATAAGATCTGGGGCTGGAGAGATGGCTCAGAGGTTAAGAGCACTGGCTGCTGCTCTTCCAAAAGTCCTGAGTTCCATTCCCAGCAACCACTTGGTGGCTCACAACCAACTGTAATGAGACCTGTTGTTCTCTGCTGGTGTGCAGGCTGAACACTGCATAAATAGTAAATAAATAAATCACACACACATACACACACACACATAAATAACACACACACACACACACACACACACACACACACACACACAATTTGAGCCCTGTAGGCAGGGACACAGGGGCCTGGCTGCATGAATGGTGGGATGACCAGCGTGCGCCTACCCCCTCAGAGGCTGGCTCGGAACAAGGGCTCACCTCGTGCCACATTGGAGGGCAGCTTCTGCCAGTTGAGCTTCTTCATACGCAGTGTGGGTGGATTCACCCTACGGTGACTGGGGACCCAGGCTGAGCCCAGGCCGTGGTCCACCTGAGCCACAATGACCTCCTCCACGCCACCCATCGTGGAAGGGACAGAGAAACCGGGCAGGGGAGGAGGTGGGGGA